TGATTGGTCGATCGGCCAATAAAATCACGAGATGATCATCAAAATCTAACCAATCACAATGAAAGTTCGCTATGCTGCTTTTTTTACATATTTGAAAGTAAGCCAATAAGATTCTTATGATTTACAGTTACACAATTTATTCAAATTAATTTATATAGGTAATCTAAAAGTTATCATTACACACAAATTTTTTTAGTATATAGTATAGAAGATTGATGTAATAAACTTTTAAAATAAATTGCATTTAGAAGTGTATTTATTAATGATAAATATGTAATAAACAGATTGGTTTTTATTTAATTAAGTCTAGATTTAAACTGTTTTTTAATTAATATTATTGTACATTTTATGTGTTCATGTAAATTTTTTGCCTTGATATTTTGTATCAAAATATCACGAAAAAAACATCACACGGTCATATAATACAAACAATAATATCGTATCGATTTTGGTCATACGAAAATAACAGAAATTATTAATTGTCTGAACCAATATCTTATAAATAATAAATCATAAATAAATCAGTTTTTGTTTAGTTGAGCGCAGTATTTAAAAAGTTTGAGCTTGCTTATTTTTTGCTATTAAATCGCACTTTTACTTTTTAATCATCATTAAATCACATATTTCCGTCTGTGCTAATATTGTCCTGATTTAATCTAATTGCTCTATAGAAAAAAGAAAATACTGATATTATTCTGATTTGTATTGTCTGATATTATCTCGATAGCTCTATAAAATTGAAGCTGTATGCTTTATAATCCTAATATGTCATTATTCAACCTGTGAAGAATTTAATTGATAAAGACGAAACCAGGCTTCACGTTTCGTCAGCGCAAAACTTCGAGGGTTCGTCCAACAACTTTAGGAGAGCAATTTATTATATTTATTATGAATCGGATTGTTATTAGTATGAACGATAAAATTTATATCCTTCTTTTAACATGCAGCAATCCTTTATATATGTATTAATTAATTTGACCTAATTACTAATAATGAAGAGAAATTAAGAACTATTTACAAGAAATGTAGTAATGCACAAATTTCCAGATGATGTAACCTGCTTTTTTGCTGGCAATATTCTTTTTATTCGGAAGTTCAACTATAACGACCAAAAAAATTTGTCTAAATAATATAAATATTTCGACCGAAACCGACTGATAATAGTCGATCCGGAAATTCTCTTTACATAAACGGAAATTTCCGGCATTTAGCAGCAATAACTGCTAATATGAGGTAATAGGGGACTATAATACTAATTACGTACATTAATAAAAAATTTCACATGACAATGTTCACTGGAAAATACTAAATTAGTAAAATAATAGCGTGGAACTCTTCAGAAAAGTACATAAATGAATTGTGTAACCGATCTACAAATGATAATGAGACTTTTTTTTCCTTAAATACGTATAAGATCGCAATACTGTATTAAGTATATCTAACTTTGTATTGATTAAATACGGTTTGTATTATTCGAATGATAATTCTTGTATGATAAATTGATGCATGTTAATATCATTAAAAAATAAATTTACTAAGCATAACCTCTAACTTATAGAAATGGTAAATGCAAACGAGTGGTTAAATAAAACAATTCCAGCGGATAAAAGAGAACAAGCAACAACTCTTTACATTTATCGCAAATGCCAATGTAACATATCAATTTTTAAAGCACCACTATTTGGGGCGAAGCCCACAACATCATCACCTGCAACATTATTTGGGGTGAAGCCCCCACCAACACCTGCACCATTAGTTAGGGCGAAGCCGTCCGTATTGATGCCGCCTACAACAGTACAGACGCCGTTCGGATCAACATCGTCTACATCTAGTCTATTCGGATCCAGAAGTAACATTACAGTAACGCCCAACCCTAAATTATTCAAACCCATCACGGCACCGCCTGTACCTGTGTTCGGAATTCCATTTGGAAATGAAAGGCCCACTAAGGGAGATAATGACAATTATTGTCAAATTTGTAACACTAATGATCAAAATAACTGTTCTTATGCTCCAGATTATTATTTCTATAATGTCATTTTGGAAGGAGACTTGGATCTTAATGAATTTGTTAATTTGAAGATACTATATATCGAAGGTACTGAACAGGACAAGAAACAACAACAAAAATTAACTAGTTTAAAAATTGATAAATGTATTAATTTGACACATATTACAATTAATAATACTACTCTTGGTTGTTTAAGTTTAGGTTGTAAACCAAAATTACAATCTACAAATTTCTTTGGCAACAAACAACTCATTTTTCGTGATAGTATATTAAAAAATCAAATAGAAAAATTGTCTGGTTTAATTCTAAATACGACGAAAAACATTAGCCTTAATGATTTAAGATTAGAAATTAAGAAAATCGAGGAGGAAAACTTAAAGTGCTTGATAGATAGTACTAAAAGTAATTTGGATGAAAGTAATCAGTCATGGTTAGACAGTTTGTTGGAGGCTCAACAAGAAGTTTTACATAGCAACAACGCTTATGCTCGCAATCAATTAGATAGATGTAAAAACATGTTGAATAAAGTGTTAACTGTTGAAGATATTCAAGATATTTTAGGCAAATTAATAGAAATTAATGAATTGGAAACTCAATTAAATAAAGCATCTTTGAAAGATTAATAATTATATGAAAAAACACGGCTTCTATATTATAAGCTAGTAAATATAATTTTATTCATATTATTATGTAAATCATGAAGAAAAAAGTGATAAAAAAAATTAACGGGTATATATTAAATTATTTAGTGAAGATCCAAGAATTTAAACTTTAGGTTTAAATCGAAATCCTTCCAATCAATTCTTCTTATTTCTTAATGTCAGACGCAATATTCTAATCATTACATCAGAGCTCTATTAATTGAAACTTGGTTAATTTCATACTTTGAAAGATGAACATTACTTAATGGTTCTCAGAAAAGCATATCAGATATTGTGAATCAGAAGTGACATATTTTGTGTTGCGAGCATAACTTTCGATATTGAAATTTTATCATTATAGCTCTTTTGATTTTATTATATATACTTCATAATTTTTCATCAATTATGTCTTTACATTTTTTTCGTCTGATATTATATTGTATTGTTTTTTTTTTTTTAGTATTTCACTATTTTACTTTGCATATTGAATATAAAGATGAAGCATAAATTTCATAAAAAAGTAATTCTTTTGAAATTTTATATACATACTAACCTTAAACATGATTGAGCGGCATTTGTGAGAACGTTTTGTTATCAATTATTATTATTAATAAAAAATATAAGATTATTATAAACGTTTCTAATATTAACAATAAATAGCGAATGCTAATACTATTTATTAGGATATATCATACTATGTATAAAATAATATTCGGGTCATAAAACTTAGCATAGGTTATTGCGAATTAAATTTACCAAGGTTTTTTATATTCTTGAAATTTTTTCTTGAACTATGAAAACATATTAGAAGTTGTTTTGAAATTATTTAGCCATAAGAAGTTTAAAATTTTAGCATGAATTTATTGTATATATAAAATATAATTAATAGTTCTATTTGTTCCCAGGGAGGTAAAAATACCTTTTTTTTAATGTTCTTAATGATTTTTAAAACATGGTTTAAATTATTAGTTATTATGACGCCTGATTGCTGGAACAAAATACAAAATTTGATTGCTTCAGCCAAGCTTTATTGCCAATTACGATTCAATTCTTAAGCAAGATACTTACATTGTTTTATAATTCATCTTATCAAATTTTCATTTTTTCAATTATTTATTATTGTAAATGCTACTTGGGAGTTATTTTTAAGAAATTCAAATTTGAGATTTATTTGAGTTATACTTCATTCTTAAGTAATGATTAATTATGCACATTATTTTTAATGTACTGTTGAACCGATATGAATTGCGAGCAGATTTTGAATCAGTAATGAAAAGTTATCAAATTTGAAAACATTATACACTACAATAGCTAAAGTTTTATTATAAATACTAACAAATATTTCTAACTAAAAGTTTTTAATAAGATTAAAAATTTGTCTATTTATAAAAATTTTAACGAAATTTATATTAATTAGTGTTTAAAAAAGTATAAAAAAGATAGTAAATGAAATTTGTTACTCATACCCCCATGTATATCAAAAATTCATTGAATTTGGTATGGTGGGTGTCGAGATATCTTCACCCAAAGTTTTATAAAAATCCAAAACATCTAACAAAATAAGAGCTACCCCAAATTATTATTAACCTTTGATTTTAATTAAATTCTATGAATCTGTAGAATTCAAATAAAAAAACGCTCATCGAATTTGGCTTGGTAGGTGTCTAGATATCTTTACTCAAAGATTTAAAAAATTCAAAATGTCTATCAACCATAGCTGCCGCAAAAATTTGGACCGATTTTGATTGGCTAAGAGCGATGATCAAAAAATTAGGCCGGAATTACTCATAATTTTACTAATGAAATCATAGCCGCCTATTAAG